AGTTTTTAAAAAATGTATTTATTTTTGTTATACTGGGACTAAACCCATAGACTCATGTGTGCTTATGCCACTGCACTAATAATTTGCAGTTTTTATTGTCACCAAACATGTATGGTACATTTGGCATCAGGAAACCAAAAGGAATTCCACTTTAGCATGAGATGAAATAAATGCGCATATATTCTACCGTCTTTCCTTTATGAAATTTTCTTCTCATTAATTATTTGTAGTTTGTTGGTAAAGTGTCAGACACTGACAGAGTGAACAAGACATTTGGTTACCTTGGTATCTGCTTAAGATTGCACTAAAAGCTTGTGCCTACTTTTTTATTCTATCACAGAGGCAAACTTACCCTTGGTTTTTACCATTTGAATGATTCAGGGTCTGAATAAATGAGCTCAACTGCACTATTTCAGGATTTTCCTATTCTCCATTAGAATGAATATAAAGCTAAAAATAAAAAATCAGGAGAAACTGCTTCCATGTGGACTGTTTTAATAGACCCGGGGCTGTAAGATGTGCTGGCTTCCTGTTTGTCCCTGCTTGTGTCATTACACTCTTAACGTGCCCCATTTCTCAATTTCTGGTTTCCAATAGCATTTTAATGATTGTCTGTTTCTCTGGCCCATATGGAAAACATTGATTCTGTTGTCCCAGTAACAATATGAAATATAGTTTGTGGTTGCTTTTTGGGCTAAAAGAAACTCATTACAATTTCCTCTTCCTCCATGTGTTGCCAAAAACATTATTGTTGGTCAGGTCTGGAGATGGGTTTTAAATCTGGGACTATTTCTTAGATTTTTGCATCAGTGTATTCTGTAAATGTATCAAAAGCTGTTGTAAGAGCTGGATTCCAAAGAATCAGAGATCCCCGTCAGTACCAAAGGCAGAAAAGAAACCCCTTTTTGAGGGGCAGAAATTCATGTACATGAGTGCAGTTCTTTTTATCTACCATGATAAAGAAGTGGAGCCCTTAACTCTCCAACAACATGACATTATAAAAGAATCAGTGGCAGATTAGAAAGGAAAAATGTGGAAAGTATTTAACAAAAGATTCCAGTTCTCCAAAGCCTTGCTATTTAAAATGCTCACAGCACATTCAGCATCACCTGTATATCGAAGGTGTAGCTCTCAAGGTCTCCTCCAGCCTACTACATGGAAATCTGCATGTTAGCGAGGTCCTGGGGGAATCTGTGTGTATACTCCAGTCCCAGCAGCACAAAGGTAGTTTCCCTTCAGCGAACACTGTGCTTCCAAATTTATCATCGAATGATGGTTTATAAAGCACTGACCTTTTATAAACACAGACTGAATTATTTTATTTCAATCTGCCACACAAATCAGTTCACTTGGTCAATATGATCAATGTAGTTTTTAATTGTTACTATAAGCTTTAAGATAGATAAGCTTAGAAGAGAAAATACAAAAGGCTTAAATCAAATATCAAAGGTTCCATGTGGAAGCCCCAAATACCTATAAGCATGCTGTAAGATGTCCATGTGTGTTTAAGGGTGTAATCTTCAAAGTCATGCATTTTTTATTATTGGAGTTGTTGACAGGATAGTTACTCTTGACTTACATGCATGTAAAAATGCCACTGGGAAGGAGAACATATGTTTTTGTGTTCTGAAAATTCAAAACTGGCTAAATGGATTAAACTCAAAGTTATGAAATAATTCACCTTCAGGCTGAGACCTTCTTATCACTGTGGCAACCAGAATTAAGAATGACTTCAGTGGCCTCTGTGAACACTTGTGATGGTAGCTTCTCTTTAGGGATGCTTTTTTCTTTGAGCATTCTCAGTTGGTCATTAGGGGATTGATGGTGAAAGTGGACACTATTTAGTGCATTACTTTATTCATGCCTATTGATCTACGGATAGACGAGTTGGTTTTCTTGGTGTTTCATATTTCTCTCTTTCTCTCTTTCTCTTTTTAATTGGCCATTCTGTTCATGGCTTTGTTGCAGATTAAAAAATGATTCCAAAGCCAGAGAAGCTATGCATCTTGTCTTCCTAGACTTTCTGAGTTCCTGATCAATTCTTCCAATAGAACATCCTCATGTTATGTCCTACCTGAAGAATTTTCTTGCTTTTCTTACATACTCAAGGCCAGTTACTTCTGTTTTTCACATTGTTTTCTTTTTCCTCTTTTGTTGTCTGTGTTTCTTTACAAATAGCTCAGTTACTAAGGAAACATCACTTTCTGGGTGTGGTGACCTCTTCAATTTATATATGACTGTTAAAATATGTGTACATGAAACCGGGAATCCACGTCACCTTCCTGTCATCTTTCATGCTGTGTTGTAAGCTACGCTGTGCTTTGCCTGACATGTTACCATCCTGAAAAAAATATTTGTTTAGTGCACTTGAGATTTTTATTTTGGATGTAATTACCAAAACAAAAGAGCTTATCCACAAATTTTTTTAAAGAAGCACAAAAGATTTATTGTATTAAGCAGAATTTTAAAAACATACACTCAAAGATTAGAGAGGAGTTTTCAAGAGAGGTATACTAAAGTAAGATTTGGGGAATACTTAGTTGTTTTTTTCCAGTGCTGAGGATTAAACCCAGGGCCTCATGTATACTAGGCCAAAGCCCTGGCGCTCAACTACCCTCCCAGCCCCATGTAAAAACATTTGTGTCAATCAAACATTTTGTGTTTCAGCAACCTGCTTAACTAACAAGACAGAGTAGAAAGTCATGCTGATTTGGTCTTGAAATATATGAGTATTGTTAAATTCTGTAACAAATTTACCAAATTCCATGAATTATGAAAACAATATCCAGGCAAATGAATATAGATTATAAAAATAATTGAAAATACTATTAAGTCCTTGGGTTTTTAGATCTATGGTAGGTTGCTTATAGAGTAAAAAGGAATTTTTTTCTGCCTTCGTATCACAGGGTGTGGAGTATTGGAGAAAAATCTGTTGCTTTACCAATTTAGTAAGAGGCAAAAGATTTATATGATCTGGGGAGAAACCAATGTATCTCCATAAGTTTAGATTTGAGTGATGGAGCCCTTAAATTCATTGAAAATAGATATAGCAACTTTCCAAATAGCCGGAAGTGAGGGGATAGATATAACTTAACAAAAAAGGGCTCTATGTTTCCATGGGGAAGTGCTGACAGTCTTTTTGGGCCTTCTTGGGCCTTCTCTGCTTGTTGCTAATAGATAGCCTCTTTCTCAGCTGGAAATACCCTCACAGAGAGACTAATAGGGACTCTCTTGGGGAGAGTCTAAGATCGTCAGACAAGCAGAGTTCAGATAAAATTTCTCTCTGCTGATCCCTTCAGTGGTTTCCCCAACTCTCTCCGTGCTTTGTGTTTTGAAAAATAAACTTCGTTTTGTATTTATAATAAGGTTAATTTATCATTTTCAAATAAACTTAGAAAATGTGTGTTAAAGATAGATACTCGAAAATTACATCTGTGCCTTAAAAATGGAATTTACAACTTGATCCGCATGGTGTCATGTGCCATATTAGACTGGATTTGAGTGGAGATGGGGCCCAGATGTCCTGGCTCAGTAAGGGACCTTAACACGTGAGGAATCAACAGAGACAGATTCACGTTCATCTTCCTCTTGCCCGTCTGTCCTGGACCAAGTCATGACAACGCATTACCAGGGTTACTCTCCCTGTTTCCTGAGGGAAGCAATGTCCTTGTCTCTAGAGATAAGGGACACAGAAGAATCTAAGCAAACAGGCCTGACTAACCAGTCCCTCCTGTTTATTGTAATTAGATCGCCTTTCCTTTGTCCAGTCACCCTGCTCCCAACCCTCTACTCCTCATCAAACCTAAGGACAAATGCACTTTCATTTGTTTAAAACTCCTCCTAAGGCCAGGGATATAGCTCACTGGCACAGTGTCTGCCTGGCGGCATAAAGCCCTGTGTTCAATTCCCGGTAATCACAAAAAAGATAAATAAAAAATAAAAAATATGTAAAAGAAAGAAAAAGAAAAGAAAAGCCTCCTAATTACTGTGTATCATAAACACATACTAATAAAACAAATTCAAAATATAAAAAGTAAGGCCCCTATGTGTCACAAACTACTTATATTCAGTAAATTTGTATACTCTTACTGATCTATTGTAATACATATCTCAGCTATAAACCTAGTCATAAGTGAGGGAAGAAATCTTTTCTATCTTATGGTGGCTAGCATTGACTTTTTATTATTATTATGGGATAATAATATATCATGTAGCTACTGAATGAAGGTTTCACATTTTCCCCCTCATAAGGATTGCTTTAAAAAAAGCAACATTTTGGACCAAAGGTCCATACAAATACAAAAATGGAAACATATAGATAGGAACCTTGGGTTTGAAACTTCAGTCTACTCACCCTGAGGTCTGTGCACCTTCATACTGCTCCTTCCTGCTCACTGTTCCCCACTAGTGCCCTCCTGAGCTGTTAGTGTTTGCACGCTCATCTTATGTTAGACGGTACCTCCTCAAGGACAAAAGACTAAAGGCAACTCATGTTTTCTCCTCCTCTCTCTAGTTCCTGGTGCATTATAAATGGAATACATTTAAGATTACGTATTCGAGGAGACAAATTCTTATTTGTCCTGCTGGAAATCTTTAGTAATAAGTTTAGGGATAGGTGACTACTTTGGATTCCGAAATCATTACATGATTACATTCTCTGTTTACACCTGTGCCTTGGGTGTGGGCTGAGAGTATTTCTTACTGATGTGTTCTTTCCCCATGGATGAACGTAGGTCTCACCAGAAGAATCTAGACAGCTATCCAACGCAGTTCCTGGGGCTATTGACAAACCCAAGGAACCCTAGAGAAGCTTTGGCTATTGTAACATTTCTTTCTTAACTAGATTCTTCACCTAAGAACTAGAATGATATTTTAAAAAATGGCCATTGCAAGCAGTATTATTAACTATTGCATATACCCACCACTTCCTGAATTCCCAGCCTTGAGTCTGGCACCTAACATAGAGCGTCTTGCCTATTTCTTCCAACAGCCGCCCAAAAGGAAGATGTTAGCTCAGTGTTACATTTCCGGAAACTGAAGCTCAGAGGGGGCAAATCATTTGTCCAAGCCTGCACAGCTCAGGAGAAAAGCATACCAGAGTCACATCTATGTGAAGGGAATCACCCTTCCCACAGATCCTGGCGCTGTCATCAGAGAGCACGCACACGTGAGGCCTCAGAGTAGGAACTCACGATGGATGTTTCAGTTGATTATTCTGTGTTAACTTCCAGCATATGCATGCCTGGACAGCTATAAAACACCCCATGTATGTTTTATCATTACAATTAATATTGTTTAATTTGTAATTACGCTTACCTTTTTAAAAATATTTGGGAAAGTAAATAGAATTAGCTATAATTTTATGTTTTGCATTGTCGTAATTATTCTATATGCTCCCATTATCCAGACGTTAGAGCCTGAGAAATTTTTTAAACGTGTTGGTCAATATGAAAGAAAAAACCAACTCCCAAATCTATCTGCCCATCAGGCATCATGGCAGCAGAACAAAAAGTATGTTAAAATAATTAAATAAGTGCAAGGCAAAGGGTGAGAGAAAACACCATCTGGAGCTCTCTGCGAGTCATTTAGGAGTGAGCTGGAAGATAATGAAGGCCATTGCATTCTGGTCATGGATGGGCCCTTCTGCTTGGCTGATGTTCCAGCTTTACTCCGAATAAAAATAGCCCATGCATCCTTTACTGCAGCTTGGTAAACACAGTCTATGTGCATAAAAATAAAAGAACGCACAACAAAATCTTTGGCGAGGTTGGCCACAATTTATTTTTGTTTCCTAGGGTACCCATGAATTTCGGTACAATCAACAGTTTAATCAGAACAGCCAGGCATTTGTTTTCTGGCAGTTTATAGTCAGTTTTGTACTATTTTCCTGGGGGGACCTGACCATATAAAGTGCTCATCAGAGCCACGAAGCAATCTTCAGATTCGAAGCAGTGGGGTGGACTGAGGGCGGTCCTGGTGTGCAGTCACAAAGGTGCACAGTTAGGATTGGCCACCTCTGACCTCTGAGGACAATGAGTCTTCCCCAGGCTTGGTTTTACTACAGCAAAATGGTGATGCTAATAACTTGTAATGTGTAAGTGTGAAGGGATGAGAGATGAGAAAATGTTCTTTTAATTAGAAATGCTTTGTAGATACTCTTTACTAAGCCACTTTTGAAGGACACTGTCACATTGGGACTTTAAAATGAAATTTAAAATAGTATGGAAAACTAAACATGACTTGATCCTAGCCAGCTGAAATTATTCAAATTTTAGGGAATTTCTTGAATTTTGAGAAAATTGCTTACATTTTAGCACCTTAGTTTTCTTGTCTGTAAAATAGAGATAATAATATACTGAGCTGACAGGTTGATACCAAGGATATGATGAGAGAGGAGATGGCCTGGGGAAGACAGCCCCTGGTGTGGTGTAATTACTCGCTGCTATTGTTATAATTTTGGGGGAGATGTACCAGGGATCACACTCATGACCTCCTGCCTGGCAGGCAGGCGCCATGCCGCTGAGCTATGTCCCCAGCCCTGCAAGCAGTTACACACACAAGTGAGGGCATCATCATGGAAAACGGGCCTGCTTTCAAGTCTGAGCTGTGGACACCGTGCTTTGGAGGCTGTAGCAGACCCTGGCATGCTGCTGGACTCCTGGGGCCCCTCTGCTCCGGAGTCTACTGGAGGGGATGACACTGCACACGTCCTGCTTGAGCTGCCGGTATTGGCTCTTGCTGCTTCCTTTGATCAGTGGCTGATAAAATCTCTCTTGAGCTTTTGGGAGCTAATGAAAACAATGTGCCTGGGTTAGGTCTTCAAAAAACTTGATTTTGGCACTATCATACTGTTAATATCCATTAGGACATTTTGAAACATGTGCACAAGGCCTTCGATACATGGAATTCTTTGGTGAGTACTGGCTGGGGAGCTGACATATGAGTTTGCTGAACCCTTGAAGGCATATCCTGCATCAGTTTCCTGAGCAAGGAGAGTTGTAATGACTCTCTGGGGACAAGTAAAGATTTCCTGTGAAGTCTTGCTTAATTGCTAGCCTTGAGTTTTAAAATTCTTGCTACCCTAAGTGACTCCTCTTAGTAAAAGTTAAAAAAAAATCAGCTGTTTTATTGGGCCTTGATGAAGAATGCAAAGATTAAGTGGAAATTAGGAACAGCCTGATCACTCAATAGGGGCATAGCTGTGGGGTGCACTAGAAAATGCATGGGTGGAAAATCCAAGTGTGGGCTTCTGCATCGAGACTTCCTATTTCTTCTATTTTGGGGAAACTACTAAACTCTGTGGGTCTCAATTTCTTTATCTATACAATGGACATAATGACATGCTGAGTGACTTAATACTTATGAAGTGCTTAGCAAAGTGTTTGTAAATCAAAAGCATTCAATAAATGCTGCTGTATATTGGGTAGAGTCTCATTAAATGAAGAACTTTCTTGGGAAAGCAGTGATTATAGGAGTCTATTCTAAGGTCTTTCTCTGTTCTTGAGGCTGGTACCAAATGGTTTGTGATGGTAGAGAAGGAGTAGGAACCCCAAATACCTGTCTTTGCTTCTATGGATTAACTCAATACTGCTTATAGGTTTATTGACAGAAAATAAATAAGACAGATCTTGTCAGATCCACTGTTTACAGCAGGAGCAGAAAATGGTGACTATGATAATCTAACTTATGAGTCAAAATTTCAAAAAACCCACTAACTCTGTGATATGAGACACTTTCTAGTTGATAATGTTTTCAGCATCCAGACTCTTAAATAATACAAAGAAATGTTATTGAAAAATAACTGATTCTCAGATTGTGTCTACCCAACTGTTTGATTTCTGCTAATCATTTATTAAAGGCAAAACAAAAACACATTTGCTTGTGTTTAATACACCACACCTAGTTGCAGGAAGCACGAGGCCACTGAAAACACTTGTTGAATAAGTTCAGAAAATAGGAGTTGGAAATGTTTGTCATCTTGTGGCTTTCAGTATCGCTAACTTGATGGAAAGAAGCCAGTGATATTTTTCTTACCAATTTCATTTAAATACTTCGTTATTTGTTAAACTCCAATAGCAACCAAATAATAAAAAGCCATTTGTTAGAGAGTTGAGGGGTGAAATACCCATATTGTTTATGATTACATTTTAAGTCCGCTCTAGATTGGTAGCAGAGTGGTTTGTGTTGGCATAGCTCATGACACCTCATGAAGACCCTTCATTCTGACCCCACCCAATCTTCAGTTCCTCTAATGTGTTTGTGGTTATTTTTTTCTATAGCCTAATTAGGCCCTAAGTCAAAAGATGAGTGCTGGAGAACTTGTTTTCTTCACATATACTGGGACTTCGGTAAATGTAGATGACGGTCGGTGTTGCTTTTATGCAGAACACAGTTACCCTGACACAAATGGTGTACAAGAGACTTACCTGGGTTATAGTATTCAGTTTACCATAAGAACATGGGCAAGACCACATCTCATTCCTACTGGGCTTTTTATCTGAAATAAAAAGAGTAAATTGGTTCTGAACTCTCTTTTCCAATAACCAGTGATCTTAGAGTACTAGGTGTCAGCATAATTTTAGAGACTTTAGCAGATGCAATTTAGCCTTAAAGATAATTCCTTAAAATTGTGTTTACTTTGTACCTGTTAACAGAACCAAAATATCAACGGAACCCAGGCTATTCCTTCTGTTTTGAATAATTTATTGTCCTCCTCCTATTATTATATGTCACTTGACTTCTATTTTATTTATGCTTTAAGGTAGCTCTATATATGCATTTTTTCCTGAGGTAGCTGCCTTTATGCATTTATTTCCTGCACAAAATAGGAACATACAATTGGTTAGGAAGAAATGTACTCTTGTCAAGAAAATCGGCTACATCAATATGTATTAACTCAAGAAATATTTATTAAGCAATCTACTAAATAAGCACAAAAAAGTGAAGACTACATGAGACTCCCCCAAGAAGCTTATGGTCTGTCTTGGTTACATTTCTGTCCTTGCTGAGATGAAACATCTTACACACAAATTTAAGGAAGGAAAGGTTCCTTCCTTAAAGGCTCACAGTTTGTGGAGGTTTCAGTCTAATCAGCTGGCTCCAAGGCAGAGTGGCAGATGGCAGTGGGGCAACACTTTCAGATGGCAGAAGACAGCAAAGCAACCAGAGCAAAAGACGGGGAAGAGCAAGCCTCTTTTTCTCCTTTGTATTGCACACATGTCAGCCCTCCTCCAGGACCAGTGTAGCACTCACAAAATCTCCTTGCCCTCTTCTTGTACAGGCTGAGGATGTTTACAAAGTAAGGACCCTGGCTCCCTGCTGAGTCTCTTACTCAAACTTCTAAACCTCTCAGGTTGACACAATATATCAACCATAACAGGTCTAATGGGAGTGCTGAAAAGTAAAGAAATAATTATAAAACTATGAGACACAGATGATGACGGAGGATGAGCACAAGTTGGGGAACCTAGCCCCACTCAGAGAAATCACTGCTGACATCCCTGGAATCACAGCATCTGAGCAGATGGGAAGGATTAGTCAGAATCTGGTACAGTTAACAGCATGTGCAAGAGCTGAGAGGTGGGTGAGGCCCTCACGCCCAGGGAGCGAAGCCTGCTTTGTGGGATAGGTGCAACATCAGGAAACAGATGTGGTTGTTTAGAGATTTATAAAGATTTGATCTTGAGGACAATGAAGACATCTTGGTGAGTTTTTCTAACACAGAATGTTAACCTTAAAAAACAAACAGGAGGAGCTGCCTGGAGCATTGAGTGGCTTGGAATGCAGCAGAGCAGGAAGCTGGAGGTCCATCTGTGACAGTGAGCCAGGCTGGAGGGGGTGGCGGCCTAAGCTTAAGTGAGGGGGATATGGAAAATGGGAAGCAGACAGATTGAAGGAATTGATGATTGACTCCTTCCAAAGTACTTGTGGACTTTTGTTGAGCTGATACGGAACCTTCCCTCCCACTGAAAATAACTTGAAATCTGGACAAGATCTACAAGACAATGGCTACAGATATTGGATAGCTGGTCATTGATGGGTCATTGATAGTCCTCGGGAAGGGGAACATAGGTGGTGAGCTACAGATCACAGGGGGTCTCTCAAGGAGCATTTTTCCAGAGGAACTTTTGGTATACATAGAGAAACCAGGTAGACAGCATTCACTCGACAAAAGAAGGACATAGCGATCAGCATTTATGCTGCTGGGTTGGCTGAGATTTGGGGCTAGGGCATCTAAAATGGGGGAGATTCAAAGAAAAATGCTGCATAAATCTGAATAGAAATTCCTCTTACTGACTGAGTCCTCAGTCAACTCCCAGCTTCTGTGAGTACAGGGTAAGATTCAGGAGGTCTGGAAGAGAGCGTCTTCTGGTGGCTGAGAGCTAAACAGAGGATCCAGGGCAGGAAAGAGGCAGCAGCGCAAGTTCAGGAGGTGGAGAGATCCGACTGCTTAGCATAATAAAACCTGCCCCTGAGGAGGAGGCACCTAGTGCAGGACCTCTTCACTGCTATTCCTAATGCTTGGAATTCAAGGAGACAATTATTCCACACTCAGAGACACTGAAAATTGCCAATATCCAACTAATAGAACAGTCAATGAAGCAAACGCGGGCATAAGTTAACCAAAGTTTCATATTTATAGAGTATGCATTATGTGCTAGTACTGCAATCAACACAAAACAGTCTTTGAATTCATGGAACTTATGTATCAGAGAGAGAAAATAACAGCTAAAATGATCACATAACATATTTGACGTATTAGAGGGCAAAAGTCCTAGAGAAAAAGAAAGCATAGAAAGAGCAAAAGGAAAGGTAGGAGTGTGGGATTTTAATTGGTCAGAAAAAGGCTGTCCGTGGGGCTAATGGAAGGGGAATTAAAAGATGGAATCCATGACTTGAGTGTGTGCTTTTATATGTCCTGGAGACAGACAAAATAAAAGGAATAGACATGTGTAGGGAGATGATACTTCGGGGATATTTGGTTTGAGTTTCCCATGAGATTTTTATTGGAATTTCTCAGTAGATAATGAGCTATGTGAATCTGGAGAACAGAAAGTATCTATTCTAGAGATGATAATCTGGATGTGATCCACTTTTAAAGCTATAATTAACGTGACTATCACTAAACCACAAAGTAGTTCAGGATTTAAAACACAGAGATGGCCTAGGTCAGTATATCAATGAGTGATAAACAATTGATAGCTGGTGTGTTCCACCAGAATATGTTGCTATGGAAGTCAGATATTTTAGCACAAGGAGGTGATTAACAGAGCCAAACAGTGAGAAATCAAGGAATCCCTGAAATGTTTGGGGGAATTATGAAACAAAAAATTTGATGAAAAATTTTTTGATGATGTCTAAAATATGGAGCAGAAGCCAGATTGTAGTGGAAAGAGGAGAAGTAATGGATGTGGGTGCCATTAAGATAAGGAAAGTTGTGGCATTTATATACAGTAGTAGAGTGGTACTGTCCCATCAAGAAGGATAAACTTGAGTCATTTGTAAGAAAATGGATATATTTTGAGACCATAATGTTAAGTAAAATAAATTAGATGCACAAGCTTAAATAGCACGTAGTTTCTCTTGTATGAGAAATCAAAACATAAACAGCAAAACAATGAATCAATATTAGGAAGTAGGGAGAAAGATCTTTCTTAAATGGAGAGAGGATCAAGATTTGTAGGGAGGGGACAGAGAGCAGGGGAAGGGGATGATTAAGATGCATTATATACATGTGCCAACTCCACACAGGAGATGCAAGAATTCTGTACTACATACATGTACAGATGAAAAATGAAAACTGAAAAAAACAGATGTTTCTGCATCTGGATATGAAGGATGGTATTTGCAGACGGTTGTCAGACTGTAGTAGTGTTGTGTGTGTGGGTTTCTGTGTGTCTGTATCTTTTAAGATGGGAGACTTAAATGTATTTAAGTGCACTTAACAAATGCTTTTTTGGGCTGGGGATATAGCTCAGTGACACAGCATCTGCCAGTCCTGGGTGTGATTCCTGGAACCAAAAAAAAATAAAAATTGCTTTTTGAAGGATGACATGACAATGCAATCTTCAGTGCTCCTGAAAGTACAGAGGAAACCCTGTTAGCTCATACAGTTCAGTCCGTCTGGTGATTTTCTCACCAAATCCTGTAAACCAGATCTCTCAGGACCTTTTTCATTTATCTTATAGTTTTTTTTTTTCTACTCAAAATATTAAAAGAAGAACAACTTTATGGTAATGTTTTTCTCAGTTTATTTGATGAAAATTATTGATGTGCTCAAATGTCATTTTAGCCTATGTCAACTCAAATAAATTTCAACTTCAAAGAAATAAACTATATCCAAGATTAGAATCTAAGTTAGTTTTAAGTGAATGCCATTTGGTTCTATATAGGCCAACTGTACCTGTGTTCACATACATTATGCCTTAACAATGAGAATGTTTTCAAATGTTTGTTGCAATCTAGCTTAACCCCTGAGCCCAAATTATAAAAAAAATGTACCTTTGTTTTGCAGTAATGAATACTTCCAAAACCTTAAAACAAGAGTTCTGTTCTGTGCAAATAAGGCTCCTGCTGATGGATGCACATGAAGTGGGTGTAAGTAATAAGTAACCTTAGACGCTGCTGTAGCTGTACTAGAACACCTGAGACGGGTAACTGATGAAGAACAAAGGTTTGTTTCTTCCAGCTCTGGAAGCTGGGAAGTCTATGGCTGAGGGGCTGCATCTGGTGTGTACTTCTATGATGCACTGGAAAGCAGGAAAGAAAGAAGTCCTTCTCATGGGGCCCTCAGGCATGCTTTGGTCAGCAACGCACTGCCCACAATAACGCGTTAATCCCCTCAGCGAAGCAGAAGCCTCAGACTCAGTCAGCTTTAGAGGCTGCACCTCTCACCGCTGTTGTACTGAGGTTAAACACGAGCTCTGGGGGATACGGCTATCATGGAAACAGACCATCTGCTTCATTCAAGTTTAAAATCAAAAATGATAATGCAAGATAGTCCTGATGAGATGCCCACGAATAAAGTGATAAGATTATTAGACTATTCCTATGGATTTATACCACCCCAAGAGAGAAAGAGAAAGTCTCAAGTACCCATGTTTATGCCCATGAAAATGAATCATGACCAAAACCTTGTACCCACTGAATGTATTGAAATCTGGGAGTTGCTCAGACCTGATAGACATCACAATGGAATTGCTTCATTGATTTCTTTTGCTTTGAAAAGTGGAGGAAGGATTATCCAGTCAAAATACACTTTTTTCCAAGAATTATCCATTGGTACCTGAGACATTCAAATTTTCAGGCTAATTAAATATATTTTTGTGAGGTTTATGCTTTTGGTAGTCTTTGTTGGATAATTAGCACCTTTTGCACTAAAACATCCCCAATTACCCTATGTATTCACTAATGAATACAGATCAAGATAAGCTATTTCAACAAGTTTTGATGGATTTATTCTTGTTTTATTGTACTGCTAATGCCCAAAGTGATCATATGACTAACTATCTTGGGACTGATAAACTTGAAAACAAGTAAAGAATTTAGTGGGAATAAGGGCAGGCTGCTCTGTTGCTGGGAGGAGTACACTGGACAGGATGACCTGCTGTACCCCTCAATCGCAAGAGAAAGATTATTCTTCATGGGACAAGAAACCAGATACTGATCCGTGTTTAATGAGCAGCTCCAAAAGTCTGGAAGCATCTTGAAATAGAATATCATTCAGCATGTGATTTATATATAGTAAAGTTCATGTTTTAAAGCTGAATATGATTTATGATTGAGCATTAGAGAGAATAGAAGTTGAATTTACACTGTAATAGGCTAAAAGTGGTTTAGAAACAGCCATTCTTATTTGGCATGGAGATAACTTCAGAAGAAACTGACATAAATCGACTTGGTGTAAGGCAGGACTTGGGTTTCAGGTTAGAAGCCTAGACTTTATATGATACGGGAGAGAAACAAATATTGTACCCTTTTACCCTCTTGTCCCGTACTTGTTCACCACCCAAAATGTGACTGCTTTCTGGCCACGGGTGTCTAATAACGGCCTCATGTTCCTCTATGATCACAGTTGCCTGAAGGGAGCCACCTCCTTAGCCTGCTTTTCCTCCCCCTTTTTATTGTCAAAGTCTGAAACACCACTGCATTCTTTGTTTAAAGTGCACTAAATAGCCATGTGCTCGAGCATTCTAGAAGACTAACTTCCACACAACCGTCGGCTCTGGTTTGGGGATAGGGTCAGTGGGGCACTTAATATTGCCGCTGGGAGTGTTGTTGTACCAGGTCTGCTGGAGTAGAATCCCCTCAGCTGCTTAGAACAAAAGCTTGAGTGCTGTCATGTCCCAGAGCAGTTCCTGTGGATCTGTAGATTTTTCTGAACTTTTTTGATGAAGACGTTACAGAAATTTACCAGGTTTAAGGCCTTCTGCATACATGGAAGTGACTGATCCTCTTAGCCATGGGGTGCACAAGACAGTGAGCCTGCCAAGGACACACTTAATCTAGGTTTCATGATTTAAAGCTAAACCTGACCCTAGTTTAAAGATAACCCACAATGCTTGTGGTGATTTGTGCTTATGATGGCTGATTTTATGACACCTTGGATGGACCTGATATTTGGTTAAATGTTCATTTCAATGTCCCTGAGAATGTGGCTTCAGATTAGATTACCACTGAAATTGGTGGATCCAGCAGCAGATTATACTCCATCACATGGGTGTGTCTCCTTCTGTTCCCTGGAGGTCTCAAAGGAGAAGAGTAAGCTCCCCAAACAGGAAAAAAAAGTTCATCCAGGAGATGGCTTGTCTGTGGGCTTAGTGTACAGCTCTTCCTGGAGTCTTGAGTGCCAGCTTGCCTCAACATTTTGGTCTTAGTAAGTTTTTAAAATATCCCTCTCACTCCACGCATTCCATTGATTGTTTTTCTGGGGAATGTTAACTAATACATGAATATACTGCTTAACTATACAATTAAAGTTATTCTTGGTACCTAGAGATATTGAATGAATCAATGATTAAAAACATGTACCACGTACCTACTTGTGGTGATGCATATCTGTAAGCCCAGGTGTTCAGTAGGTAGAGGCAGGAAGATCTCAAGTTTGAAGCCTGGACAACTCAGAAGGCCCCTATCTTAAAAAGGAGGGGTCGGAGAGGTGCTGGGAATGTAGCTCACTGGGACAACACCCCTGGGTTCAATTCCCAGAACCACAAAAATAAATGCTATAACCAAACATACTTATGGTTGCCTTCTTGGGATCAGAAGTCCCAGGGCATCCCACTGACCAGGTCCTGGTGAAGTGCTGCTGTAGGACACACCAAATCCTGATGGTTGTGTGATCAGTGGGGAATTAAAAGAGTGCAGTTATTGGGTTCAAGAAGCTATCTCCTTTCCCAGAAGGCACTGCGGAGGAAAACTTAGAGATGACAGAAGTCCTCTCTACCCACAGTCGATTAGCGAATCTTAACATCCCCTTCACACCGCGCTCTGGAAGACTTAAGTCCTCACCACCAAATGGTCTCATGAATAACAGGCTCCTCATTTACATTCATTGCTTTGCCTGCAGAGGAACTTGGTTGTTTGCCAACACCTTAATGTCTTGAGAAAGCTCTAGGTCATTTTGCAGGCTTGCTTTTAATAACACCATCTCCGCAAATCTGATGTGATCTTTCTGCTTTGTCGCCAATTTGGGATACGATACAAGCTCCAAATAATAAAACTTTAATGATCTGAACAGCATTTTACATCTTATCTCCCGACATATTTCCTTTATAGAAAATTCTACGAATTTTTCTCTGCCATGTTCATGCAGTGAAGATATTCATCTGAGCTAAAAAATAAAAGATCGTTGCAATGGTGAGTCGTGTTAAAAGACAAAGGAAAATGTACTTATTTTGGATAAAGCAAGTCACAGGGACCCTGATTTTGCTGAATATCTTGGGAAAAGCTAAATATTAGCAAGACAAACATTACATGGAATTTTCATTATTTTTCTGTAAAGCTGCTTTTTTGTTGTTGAAAACTCAGTATTTGATGTAAAAATATAAACAAAAGAGGAACACTAAAAATACTAGTAATTTCCCTATTCAACAACAACCACACGTACTGCGTTTCATACGGGCTTTATATACTTACCATAGACACCACTTCCTTGAATAACCAAAATCATAAATATAAAAGTATTCATAAACCGGATGTCTTCAAAACTGGCTATGTAACATCAAAATGAGGCCGTGTTTTCTCCAACATTAAAATTTTGATCTTTCCAACCTTTTAGTTTTTTCCTTGTCCCTTAGTCTTTGTTGGGCAAGAATTCCAGTGCTTCTGACTGAAGCCAGGGGACTCCTCTGGCCTATTTCACCTTCATGCAGAGGTGGGACACCTTTCATTCCCCACACCAATTCTTTGAGGCACAAGAGACGTTAGATTCCGACTGTCCTCAAAACCAGCTCTTGTGCTGGCCTAGTTCCATGTTGAGAGGGGACAATTAGTCAAGACTTGCTGAATGTGGTTACTGAGGTGGTTTCCAGGGTCTGGTTGTTATTTCCTCCAATTAGGCATGAGCCAGCATCCTTCTGATTTGTAATATCTACTTTAATGCATAAATCTTAAAAGAGTCAAGTCTTTAATCTAATGGTGTATTTCTTTTAGAAATCACCTTGACTTCTATGTGAATTTATGATTGCAAGTATGTTTCAGGGGTGTTTCCTACCTGAGAGATGGTCTTGCCATGACAAAACATATATAATTGTCATTCCTTTCAGCACTGACTGGGAGTTGGCCTCGCAATAACCTTTTGAAGAAGGAAAGTCTGCAACATAATGGTTAAATAAAAGCCTCTGGATTCCTACAGCTCACATTTAAAGCTTCACTCTGTCACTACTGGTTGACAGTCTTGTGAAATTTACTCACCAGTGATGTGCCTTAGTATCCTCATCAGTGCTACTGGGGTGATAATGATCACACCTTCCTCATGAAACTATGAAGATGCATGATACGTGTTCAACACTGCTCCTGGCACAAAGCCTGGGATCAGGTAATGTTGGTCATTACTGCGTCAGTGATCATTAAACAAGGACTCCAAAAATGGTTCCTTCCAGAACAAAGTAGAAACCACATCCTCTTCACGAAAGATACAAAATTGCTAGCAGATTTTAAGTATTATTTCTCCATTACTTAAAACAGTTTGAATCCGTTGATAATGTTTCACACTGTCTGAATCTACATAAACATGACTTTCAGTGCTTTTTTGAAGTTCATTTTGTTTTGTAATCTGGTTTCTATAATAATATATTGGGAAACTCCTGTATTTATCAATAACCATACTTCCAGGATATTTTTATCTTTTATTTTATATAGAGAATTATATTTTATTAGTTGCTTCTTATTTTCATAGTTTCGTTGTCATAAATGATGGTGAAGAAGGTCTCATAGGTACATGCTCACACGACTCTGAATTACTTAATGACATGCACATAGAAATTGAAATTAAAATAAGCTGCAAAAGTTTCCCCAGAAAAGTCCCCATTTTATAGCAATTAGCATACCTCTACTATCACCAAGGAAAGCATTCAAAATACTAATGTTTAATAGTTTGGTAGACATGAATTTGTGTTGCTTTCATGTGTTTTCTTTTATTATTAGTGAAGTGTATGCCTTTATTGCAATAGGTTTTAAATTTTGCTTTTTGTGAGTGAGTTTATAGTCTTAGTCAATTGTTCCTTTTATTTCTTTTTAGCAATATTTATGTATATGCAGGAAATTGATAAATTTTTTATTGTCCCGAAAGAAAGAAAATTTACCTCATTAGTATTCTGTAGCAGTTCAACTTTTCATGAACTTTCACATAGTGAAAGGGTTTGGTAGAGGTGTTTATGAGAAAGAATTTAAATGAATATATCTCAGGATTTCCAATTTAAAAGTTTTGGTTTCTTTGAGATTACCTAAATTTAAGTGCTCAGACTTAAGATATGTGTGCTTTCCTCCCCTGCTCCTTCCAGCGATAGCTGATTATTTTTTGTGTTGTATGTATAGTGATGAGAAATTATGTGACCTCGTGTGGTGTGGGAATGATTTGATGAAGGGCAGAAAGGAGTTGTATCGTTCTTTGCCAAGTTCATTGTCTCTCTAGGTGTTCGAAGCACTGCCGTCCTCTGAACCTGAGACTGACCTCTCGGCTTGGTTTGGACCTGGAGACTGTTGACTGTCAGTGCCCACTCAGCTGGAGCTCTGTTGCCTCCATTGAGCTCTGGAAAATCTCTAAGCTCAAGCATTTGAAACATTCATTCAGCCCCAAGGAAAAGTTAAAGTAAATCCTAATTCAGGGCCCTTTCTCTTCCTAAAAACTCAAGGGGCTATTTTTACCTGATTTTATCAGAGTTCCAGATGGAGACGAGCATAAGTTTTTTTGTACTTGTGTGTGTGTTTTTTTCTGGACCCTTCAAAAATTGTGTCTATCTGGATTTTGATTTAGGAACCAAGAGCTAACCAAGACCACTCCTACTTTTGTTTTTGCCATACCTGACTAGGGTTAAAAAAATTAACAGGGTCTCTTCTTTCTTTCTCTGTCTGGTTGGACTTTTCCTTGTGTCATAACTGTACATTGCAAGGTATGATAGAACAGCTCTGAGCTGAATTCACTAGTTTTGGCATTTAGACTGAGTATCTCATAGCAGTTATAAACCAGGGATTGTGCCATGTATTGTGAAAATACATTGTTTTTATATTCCCTGGATGTTGTTTTATAAATACATAACTAGGCACAGATTCATACGCTTAGATAAGACAGAACTGCTATTTTTCTGTATATTACAAATGTTTATATCCCTATTTTTCCTTTAAAAAACTCAAAATTGTGATGACCCATAATCTAGAGAACTTTTATGTAGCCAAGTCTACCAGTGACGTATTATGTGATTTCTTAGCTGTAAACTTTAAAAAGTCCTTCTTCTCACCGAGAAACAATTATATTCACAACGATTTTCACTAAATATTTTTATGGCTTTAAAAAACTTCAATTGGAGACATTTGTTGCAGTCTAAATATATGTACATATGTGCACATATACATGTATGTATACACATGAATAGATTTATAACTGTTTTAGTTGCTCTGTTCACCGCTGAAACACACTATCTGACACCTGCAATTTAAAGGAGCAGTTGGCCCACAGATTCACATGTTTCAGTGTAGCAGGCTTCAACATAGAAATGTGCAGGATAAGGACCACCAGGAGGAAAAGCTGTTCACATCTTGGTGCAGGAAGCAGAGAGAAAAGGGAGGAGCTGGGGAGGGAGATATACCCTTTCCTTACTGACTGTCTCCCCACCTCCTGAAAACAAGTGCCCTGTACACCTTTATGGCCCGATCCTCTTCCAAAAGCCCTGGCCCTGGGTATGTGAGGCATTTAGGGGACATTCTCAATATAATCATCACAGTAACCAACTTTTGAGCTGAAAAGGTGTGTTAGTGATTTTCCTCTTGTTGCTGAGACAAAATACTCGACAAGTTAAAGAAAGAAAGATTTGTTTAGCTCACAGTTTATATAGGCTTCAGTCCATAATCAGCTGGCTCCGAAGCAGAGTGGCATTACAGACTGACATCAGAAGAGAAACAGTTCAGGGCAGGCAGAAGGCCACAAAGCAACAAGGCACAACTATAGTTCTTCCTGTCACTTATATCTTATCCAGGATAGTTAGAGCAGGTAGCACTCACATCCTTAACCCCAGTAATCTTGCTCCTACATTACACCATGAATGAATCCCAGTATCACACACTCTAGATCCAGACACCTATGAAAACACCCCACCTATGTTGGCATGAGGCTTTGGGGGCCATCGAAATACAAACCATAAAAACATGTTTTGTTGAATACTTTTTCCTCACTGATTTGAAACATAACCTATCCCACTTTAAATTCATATTTGTTTATCTTTGTTTCTGTGCTTTCTCTTACATTCTGTTCATAAAGCTGTTTGTTCCTTTATATTTCAACAATATCTTTTTAAAACACAGTTTTAAAATACAGCTGACAAGCACAAGATCTTGAGTTTGATCCCTGGTACTACACACACACACACACACACACACACACACACACACACAAGCAACCAAACAAACAAAAAAAGAAAAGAAAAGAAAAATCCCCCAGTGCATTCATTTTAAAATGTTTTCTTGCTTTTTTATGACTCTCACTTAAATGATTTCTAGAATAATTTTTAACTTCCCCCCAAACTGATTGACATTCTTAATGTACTACACTAAAATTCAAGATTAAACCAAGAGATTGTGAAAAGACAAAAATCCACAAAATCTATTTTTGTTTATCAAACTTGTTAACATTCGTTAGTTTGTAGTATGGCAATAATTATCTCCATACCCTCCTTCTCTATCATTCTTTAAAGTTAAAGTGAAATTTGAAAAATTACGGAGTAGAATAAAGTGTCAAAGGTCATATAGGTGAAGGGAAAAACTAGGAAAATACATGTAGCTTAAGTATTTAGGAGCAAAAAGAGATGTTTTATCTAAAATTATCTAGATAGCTAATGTAAATTTTTGGTTGTACATATGTGAATCCTAGAATTTCTTTCTCCTTATTTCAAAAATCAGTTTGTGGTTTTGTTACTGTAATAATCAAGTTACAAGATTTGAATCTGATTTTGCTCATTGTTCATCACTCAGAAAGGCCATTAATTCAGAGACACATTGTTGGGGCAAGGAAAAAGATTTATTTGGGAATCTAGCAAATCAGAGAGAATGAGGGCTATCACCAGCCAAAGTCATCTTGCTTGGGGATTGCAAGCAGTAGCTTGCATGAAGGTTTGTGGGAAGGCATACCAGATAGGTGGACACCAAATTAGCTATACATTTTGACTGATCTGTGTTATGGTTTAGATCTATAATGTTCCAAAAATATCATGTGTTTGAAATGTGATTGATTGGAGGTATACTGTACTCATGAGTGGATTCATCCATTGATGAGTTCAGTTGCTGAATTTGTTGTTTACAGCTGGGGCCTAGTAGGAGGTGGGTCACTTCAAGCCCTCTTGGAAAGGTGTATTCTTATTGCCAGATCTTTCCTTCTCTCTCTGCTTCCTAGCTGACACGATGTGAGTGAGCAGCTTTCTTCTTCTAGGTTCTTTCAGTGTGTTATTTCTACCTGGGAGCCTGCTGACCATGGAATAAACTCACTGGAAACAGCGGGCCAGAATGCATCTGTCTTTCTTTAATTTGTGAATGTAAGGTATTTTGACTCAGTGGTATGAAAGTGATTAATCCAGATTTTGATACCAGGAGTGGGGTGGTTGCTATGTTGTACCTGATCATATAGTTGAAAAGCCTTTGAAATTGGTGTGCAGGAGGAATTTGGAAAAGTTTGCAGTTACAAACTAGAGAAGCCTTAGAATGTTTTGAGCAGTGTTTGATGTATGATACTGTTCAGAGATGAGAGGATCTGAATGCTGAGAGGAATGCAGACAGTAAAAGTCAGACTCAGAAGGAAGGTTTTTATTATTCCATCCAGGTTATAAGCCTATTGGTTGGTGCCATGTCCAGGGTGGATCTTGGCTCCTCAGTTTGTTGGCCTGCATGTTATCATCCACAGATACATCCAAAAGTTTGCTTTAATGTTAGATATTTATTAATCCCTTCAAGTTGACATCTTATGATTGATGTCACAAATATAGCCATAATCTAATGCTTGAGCTGGTGACAGATCTTGGCATCACCCATGTGGCACTGTTTTATAGCATGAAAAATCCAAGAGGTATGGTGTCACAGAAGATTCCACCTAGATTTCAAAGGAAGGCCTCTCTGAGGGCAATAAATTAAGCTGTGGCAGTGAAGCAGAAAGTTCAGTGGCAACTCCAGCAAGTTGGAGATGCAGGAGTGTGAAACATCTACCAAGAAAAGCCACATGCAGTTAACAGAGCTGGCCAAAAGAAAAGAGGTGTAGTTTCAAATGACAAGGCTTTGGGGTGGGGATATCTAAGACCTTTGGCCATTACACTTCACAACGTTCTCCAGGTACTGGACATGGAGCTACAGGGTTTAATATTGCTCTGCTGTTGCTCAGGTCTCATTCCTTTCTATCTCCCATTTTTGTGTTTTGGAATGGATATGTTTACCCTCTTCCATGTTCAACTTTAGGGTTTACAGTTAAGAGTTTGCTGTGAGTCTCAGAGGAAACTTTGGGTTTGGGCTTTTCAGTGGTGAAGGAATTTTTAAGACTTTGGCAACTCTTAGAGAGGGACTAAATCCATTTTGCATAATGAAATGGACATGAGCTTTTAGGGAGCCAGAGATGGAATGTTACAGTTTAGATCTAAAATGTCTCCCCAAAATCTCATGTGTTACAAAGGTAGTTGGACTGTGGTTTACTATATTCAATGATAGATTTATTCATTGATGGGTTCGATAATCAAATGTGTCATTAGGAGGTAGGGCTTGGTTAGAGGTGGGCACTGCAGGTGTAAACTGAAAGGGCATATTCTTGCCCCTAGCTCCTCCCATCTGTCTCTGTTTCCTGCCTGCCATAAGAATGAGCAGATTTACTCTGCCATGACCTTTTGCTATGCATTTCTTGGGACCAGCCAACTGCATTAAATCCAGTGGAAACTATGCTAAATAAACCTTTCCTCCTTTACATTGTGGTGTCAGATACTGTGTCCTGGGAATGAGATAATGACTGGTACAGGCTGTTTTTATGATGCATGTCTTACTATTATCCATAGGACACCAGATTCTGGCTTCTGCAAATCTAAAGAAAACATCTTATGATTTCTGTCTTTTTATGTTCTTTTCCCAGGAACAGCTAATTCTGCATTTAATTATTAGAATACAAAAGGCACCCCTTGTTCCAAAGAACAGAAAAATATCAAAAGTCTACTTCTTCCTAAAGGACTGAGAGAGAGAACATTCTCTGAAGAATAGTTTTTAACCTGTTTAGTGGCATCAGCTACAACAAAGCAAGTGAGAAACTAAAATGTATTGTCCAATTGTTTAACTTCTGTAATTAAGAGTTAACTAAGAGAAAATGAAGCTAACAAATGGAAAATCTTGAGAGTTTATTTAAATTTGTCCTGAGTCACATAGCCTTTGAAGTCAAACTTCTTACTTCAGATCTATGACTTGATCATGAAGACCATGCTTTGAGGTGAATGAAGAGACCCAGGGGTCTTAGAGTTGTAGTCTCCTATCATGACCTGCACTGTGGGACATCAGGGTCACTGCATGGCTAGATTTGTCCCCTTCGTTCTTCATATTTTCCAAATACATATGTTTGAATGAATTAATTCAGACAGTACAAGGACCAATTATTTGGATGCTATATTTTTTAAATGACTTATAGGAGCCATAGAAGTTTATAAGCTTTTAGCTTTGAGCTCACAAATAAAGCAAACGATCCAGCTGCTTGGTACATTTGCCTACTCACTGCTCTAGGTGTGTGTCTGGATTTAGTATTAGGAAATCAGGAGTAGACAAACCCAAGAAGGAAGGGAGAAAATATAACAAAATCCAAATATGACCTCACCTAGAGAGAACCAGAATAGACATGCAGAAGCATGTCTCTAATCTCTGCTACTCAGAAGGCTGAGGCAGGAGGAGAACAAGCTCAAGCCCAGCCTAGACAATTTAGTATAATTTAGCAAATGGATGAGATTGTCTCATAATCCCAAAAATATTACTTTTGCTTTTTAAAAAAGGTTAAAGGGTATCATTCAGTCCTCTCTGAATTCGATCCCTAACACCACAAAGATAAAAATGTGCTGACATTAGGTGCTGAGCCCATGCAAATAGTTACAAGTTTTTCACTGATTTATAAGACTTTTTTAAAATCTGAGGTATTCTAAATTTATTTGTAGAACACTGAATTTTATAGAAAAAGACACTACAACAAAACATGGTAATATTCCTTCATAAAAATGTAGTTATGTTCTGAGATTTTAGCAAATTATTTTTAATAAAAGAATTGTGTTGTAAATTTTAACTCATGGCAATAAATTAGCAAAACCCAAGTTTATTCACTGCTATCATAACCACCCACGTTTCGTCCAGATGTTCAGCCAAAGATTTAGAAGCTGTTTTGGAGCTCTCATGAGCTAATTTAGCAGAATATTTATGGATAATAGTAAACTCCTCAGTTCCATATTTTCTTTCTTGATTATTTTATAGAGGTCTCCTAAATATCAACTGCCAGCCTGCTTGTCCTTCAGGAAGTCCTTGCAGCTATCAGGAAGACTCAGTGTTTAGTGGTTCCAAATGCTGGAGCAGGTGCCTCATGTAGGGCACCATGAAATGCAGGCAAATGAAAGGGCGTCATCTCTTTGTCAAGACCCTCGCTGTTCCTGAAGTAGCTCCTGCATTTGCATAGAGCAGAGTAGTTTTCCCAGGGCTCTAATGTGTTATGGGCCATATCTCCTAGTTCAAAAAGCCCCAAGGGACCTAATTCATATCTAGAATTCAGGGCACATAATGACAGCAGATCCTTGAGAGGGAAATGATAAAATATTATTGTATTTACCATGGCTTATTCTAATGCAAATCCAGTTCCCTATACGCACGCTTCCTTCATTAGATCTGATTTGTTCTTTCAGGAACTTGAAAGACATATGACGGGCTAGGACTCAGTGCTAAATCTATAGAGAACTGCAAGACATTACCACTGCCTTTGGATCTGTTAATGCTCAGTGCGTAGGGCTGTGAAGACTCCAGCATCAACTGCTTCGGGGATCTGCCTCTGGGATGATCTTTCAGAGGAGTTAATCATAAACTAAACTGTGAGGTTCAGAATGAACAGAGAAGAGATTTTACCTCGTAAGAATGTATGAGAACTGCTGGAAATACAAAGTATGGAGATCTTGAATACTAAGTTCATTGGAGTATAAACAGAAGTTTATAATCAAGAACTATGAAAATGGTGTTAAGGCCGATTCAGCTTCACATGGGATTTATGAGTGTCATGAATACATCAATGCAGACAGATGATGAGTCCAGGGAAGCATCAGCAGACCATCCAGGGGAAGATGAAGCCAGCTCAAAGGTGGTGGCGGTGCTGAAGGAAGAGAGAGGAATGCAGGGCCGTCATGCACACTAACTGTTGGTGACAGCTGATTGCTCAAAAGCACCCTGATGAGAGTGAGTGTGAGCACTGTGGCCTTTTGAGCAAGAGTAATTATGACAGCAAAAATGCTATACTAAAACTATAAGCTAACTTGGAAGAGTTCCGGTTTGGGGAGATGCTGTGATTTGAATGTTGAGATATGATTGCCATTAAATATTCAGAGGTGGTTATTTAAAGGATGGTTGAGACCTAGAGACTCCCCCATCATGATGGAACTGATGTCACTGTAAAAGGATTAGTTTGGAAAAATAAATAATGAAAATAAAAATAAAAATAAAAGAGTTTGGGCTCCTCTTGCATGTACTTTTTCCTGTCCTCTACCTTCTATCAAAGGAGGACATAGCAACAAGACCCTTGTTAGATGCCAGACATTTAGTCAATGCTGGGCCCTTGACCTTGGACATCCTAGACTTGGAACTATGAGCCATTGTCCTTCCATTTATTATTAATTACCTATTTTCGAGTATTCTTCTGTAGCAGCAAAAATAGACCAAGACAATGAAAATGGTTAAGATGTCAGACGCTAAGATAATGCATATTCTGCCCATGCATACTCTGAGAAGGTACAGAATAGAAAAAGAAAGAGAGTGGGACACATTTGGAGGACCCTGCAAAATCTGAAAATACTGTGGGGGCTCTGGAGCCCTGGAAGGAAGCCCTGAACCAGGACGTAGATGCTGAATGAGAGGCAGGAACGACAGGAAAACAAAGAAACCATTGTGGTAAAGAAAACCATGACCAAGAGCATTTAGATTCAAGGGCAATACAGGGCCTCAGATTCTAGGGGGAAAATTTTCAAGGTGAAGATTCCCAAAGGGAAATTTCATAGTGGATCCTGTTTACATAAGTGATGTGTGGGCTAAGAGCCAAGATGGTACACAAACCCAGAGGTTAACAACATCAGGAAACCACATTCACCTCGCACTGGGGGAGCACGAGGGTGCAGAGTGACCTGAGCACAGCAGCTGGAACCACAGAGCGCTGCTGTGCTGCCTCCTGCAACCTAGGAGACCAACCTGACACCAAGGGAGGGGAGTGTGGTGAGGAGAGTTGCCCTGACTTTGATCCTTTGCCTGCCCTCCACTCTCCATCTTCCCTTCCCTTGGGCCAAGCCTGCCTCCAGACAAGAGGGCAAGGGCGCCTGAGAAATGTGGTTCCCTGACTCACCAAGCAGTGGAAATGCCGGGCTGGAGACGTGCGTACAGCCAGGCCATCACACACTGCCTAGCACACAGTACTGCATTTTAAGATTTTGAGGGCTGTCCCTTGAGGAATTTTGGAAGGCAGAGAAAATGTTGATTTTTTTCTTCTCTGTAACTGTAATCTGAAGACAAAAAAAAAAAAGACCTAAAACCAAAAGCAAGATTTACAATTTGCAATGTTCAAACACTATTGAAAGCAGAGAATTTAATAACCCTCTATAAATAGGAGAATACTAGTCTTCAGCAGCCAGCCAAGCCTTCAGTCCCTCTTTCCTCCTCCATTCCTTTACCTTGGCGACACCACTATGTGCTTCTTATCTAGTTGTCATAAAGCTGAGGGTCTGCAAAAATAATGGTTCTCCATCTTAAATAGAACAGATGACAGATTTCCATGATGTAAGAGTGGGTTCTAAAGATAATTCTGTTTCTCCTTTTTTGCAATTAGGACTGAACTTTATTTTGTATTCTGCAAATGATTTATGATCTCTTGGCTACAGGAATGAAAAACACTCATATTTTTAGATGCTTTGTCTTTGGTTTTCTGCGGATCTCTTGGAAGGTCACTTATTCTATCATGGACTGTGCTTGTTTACACAAAAGTATAGAACAGTGCAAATACAGAAAAAGGGGGATTTGAATAGGAGCCTCATGTAATAGTCTGTGTTATTTGTGTTTTTTGCTTTGATTTTTCTTCTCTAGCATGGTACTGAGTCTGGCACTTGTGTTTGATTGAAAGTAGTAATAACTAACACTTATTGAGTACTTACCAATTTGACAGAGTTTAAACACATGCTTCACAGGAACAACCTCATTTAATTCTCATGACAAGCCTGTGAGATAGGTGCCAGGATAAGCACTGATTTATGGATGAAGTAAACCAAGGTACAGCACCAAATCTGCCCACACCATGGACCTGAGGCCAGGGCGTCAGCATTTGCTGCCAGCAGCTTTTCCCAGAGCTCTCCTTGCCTTAGTCATGGTGTGTAGCCACCCCTTTCTGCCAGGCTGGGCCCTGAAGATGTGGGGAGCGTTAGCACACTCAACAGCCCTCTCCAAAGCAGAGGTGCTGGTATCAGGAGGATTTGGCCCAGTGAGGCCCCTACCTGGAGGCTCTGTTCAGACAAATGTGCTTGACTAACTGCCTACAGTGGGTTGTGCATTTGTTTGGTGTCCTGGAGGGCGACAGGATGTAGTAGTGGGCAGGCACATGTTGTCTGTCAGGTTCACCTGGTGTTGTAGGTTCTTTATTTAGATTTGGGTTATTACTTCACCAACAATATAGTGGAAGTGGGCATCTGCATGGAACTCATGCTATATACTGCTTATTTTACATAGTAAGTGTTCACAAAGCATAGATTTTATTCCGCAAATCTATATTGTTATGCATCTGTGATAAATAAGCCCTTCCAAAGGCTGTAGCTTTAAATGATAGCTTAATGCTAAATCTTCTGCCTTTAACAAGAGGAAAAGATAAGAATCAGTTCCTCAGTGAACACTTCTTATGTTAAGCCAAGAGAAAGTAATTATTATTATTGTATCATTATTTAAAATCCTTTCAAGCTTTGAAGCCCTCTTCACTAGTGTGATGTGTCTTTTGTCTCTTCATTTAAGTCCCCAGAGCACCTAAACCATGTTATGTCCCCTGTATTTGTCACACATGTCTGTCCCCCTAGTCATGGGTTGTTTTTATTTTCTACTTATCTAGAAAATCACTCTTCTCTCAGCCTACTAAAGTCTTCCTCTTTCCTGACTCCATCTTATGTGAATGTGCTCCAAAGCCCTTGCTTATGTATGCAGGAAATTGTAGTCTCTTTGTAATCCCTGATCTCTCCAATAATTGTTTGCACTTCTGTGTAGCCACACACTGCCTTGTGTGTTGTTTGCAAAGCTCTGCCTTTCCTAAAATCCTAAAGATGTGGGAACTGTTTTTGTATCTGGACATTACCTACAGCAGCTGCCTTTGTGCCTTGCACAGAGCAGACGTTTAAAAATTCAATGAAGAATTAAATGGTACATAAATAATTTTCTGAGGACTACAATTTCTGCTTCAGTTCCCTCAGCCTCTGCTCCCGTTCCCTAGCTCAGCTGTATTCTGCCTGGGGACCTTATTTCAGATTAAACATTGTGTTGCAGAATCTTTCTTGAAAGGAGATCTTCAGTGGAAAAGTCCTCCCATTCATTTTGCCATTAAACAAGGGCAAGAGAGTTTTGAATTTAAAGCCAACCTACTATAGCCTTTGGAACAGCTCTTTAATTGACCATTAAGCATGTGCATGGAAATAAACACTCTCTTAATTGAACTGAGAAATACACCACCAAGCAGTGCTTCCTTTTGCTAGCTGCCAAAGAAGCAAAGATGATTTGAGCGACTAAAAATTTTCTTCACTAACCCTTTCTTTGGGCAGGAGGTGCTGGTATTTCACAAGACATAGACTGGACATCCCAGAACATATTCACATACAAACCAGATTTTGCCTTGATTTTTCTTTTCCAAAGCATGGGTACAATTGAAGTTGGCTAATTGAATCCAAGGAGAAAAATTATGATATGTGCGTGTGATACCTCATTGTAGCCATCACTTGGTATTGGCATTTATTTAAAGTGTTTAAATATATATTAAATAATGTGCTGAGTGTCATCCCAAGGGAGAAAACAGAATGAAATACAGAACTCTAACCTTTTAGATTTGTGCCTGCTGAGGTCTCTGTGACTGTGTGGCAAGCCTCCAAGCTTTAAGCACTTGGCATTGCATTTGGATTTTAAAAGATTGCAAGCCATAAATTCTGGTTGCAATTAGAGCTGGTGAAAAGAAAAATACCCTAGGAGTTATTAATATGTAAATCTAGTAATCTGGGAAATTGAATGATCTCAGGTTTGGGTTTCTGAGTATATACAATCTAATTTTGACCAAAATGACATCACACTTCAACAGTTCTGCATACATCGACTACAAACTGCATGTTTCTTTAAGATTAGCATGGAAAAGTGCATAAGAAGCACATATGGCAAGAACACATATGGTAACAGTGCATCATGCCAATGGTTTACGTAGTCTGAACTCATCCCCAGTGTAGCCAATGTCACAGAGCACAGTAAACACAGAACTCAATAATAAAGGAGTCCATGTCTTTATGAATGGGACCAAATGGCTTCTTTAAAAATGCTTTCTTTGATCTTTATCAAGCTTAGAATGTTTTATCTCAATACTGACATAAGCAGTAATTAGTTTTGACTGTCTTGCCCATAGTCTTGCTATGCAGAAGCACCATGCTGATAGGTGGAGATGTGTCTCGAAGTTGTGCAGCAGCCCAGCCCCTACTTGACACAGATGGGCTCAATCACGAAGTGGGATACATGGTGTTAGTGTTTTCAGTGCAATAAAAGAGCAAAATATAAAAGTAAAAAGTAGCCTTTATTCTAAGGATGTAGAGAAGAGTCCAAAACCATAAGCAGTCTGGCTTCCTCTGACCAGAACGTGGAGTATGGGATGTACATGTAACCTCTGCCTGGGGGTGATGATTTGGGCAGGCATTGTTGACTCATGAGGAGCTGATTGGAACTTTTTTCTCGAGCACTGGGAAAGGAAAAAGGAAGTTGTAATAGGGAAAGGAGGAAGTGACCTTAGGGTAAACATCCTTGATTCTGCCTCCCACCACCATAATGTTGTGTAATTTATTCTAGGGAAAAACTCTTTCACATGACTAATCAGTTTACAACATAGACATGAGCTTCAGATGCTGTTATTCTTCCTACAAACACTTGAAACATCTGAAGTAACCTGAAATAATCGATTTGCTTTGAAACTCACATAGTTTCTGTTCCTGACTAAATAAATTGGTGTAGTTGTCAGGATGCATTGATCATTTAATATCTTCTGTATAACAAACACAGAGAGGCAGCCCACAATCTTTTTCATGCTATAATGTACTTGAATCAATTATTGGTTCAGACTCAGATTGGTCCAGTTACTTGTCTGAGTCTTGTGCAGAGGAGATTTGTGGCTGCCTATGGCTGTTTCGAGAACTGTTTTTGTGTAATTTGCTTTATCTGAGTGATCTGTTGTGAATGTGTG